TCAATTAGAGGAGGCCCATCCTGCCCTTGCCTTGGCAGGATGTCCCAGATGCAGCTTTACAAATGAGCAGGAGTTAGCCAGCTGTTGGGGCAGAAAGAGCAGCATTCAGGCAGAGGGAACAGCAGGTGCAAAAGTGTAAAGAAAATACGTGATGGACTTGGGAAGAGGGAGTAATTTGATGGGAAGATAAAGCTGGAGAGATGGGAAAGGATCCAGAAAAACTTTCTAATGGTAAGTAACTGTACACCTGGCCTACCCGGACCACCCTGTTTAAAACTGCAACTGCTTTACTCCTTGATTTTCCATAACCATCTACTGTGCACTCATTTACTCTAATGTTTCTTGTCTCATTGCCCCCCTACTAGAACATAAGCTCCTTGAGGGCAGGGATTTGTCTCCCCAGCACCTAGAACAATAGCAGCTAGGCACATGGTAGACACTCAAGTATTTGTTGAATCAGGAAATCTGAGAAGGCCCATCTCTCAGAATGGTCAGGTTCGTATAAACAGAGTTATAACACAGCATAAAGGAGAACGTCACGAGGAGTGCTTCCCACAGAAGCATTTCTGGCCGAGAGGCCCCTGGTGGCAGGGTGAATCTCGAGCTGCCGTTTCCCAGGCAGGAGGAGGAAAGGGGATGTGCTGGGCAGCTCTGCCACCGTTTGCTGACCCGGTTCCCCACGGCCACCTCCCCAGCTGTCCATGCTGTTCACGGAGGAGTGTGACAGGGTGCGGGACCTGATGCACGTGCACTCGTTCAGCTACGACTTCCACCTGCGCCTCGTGCACCAGCACGTGCTGGGCACCCACCTGGTACTGCGACACGGCTACCACCTTACCACCTTCCTGCGACACTTCCTGGCCCACCACCCTGATGGGCCCCACTTCGGCCGCAACCATATTTACCAAGGTTGGTGCCCAAGGGCAGGCCTGTGAACCAGAAAAAGAAGAGGCCTCAAGGTGTCTCAAGCCAGGGTGGTGAGACCACTTCTCAGGGCCAGAGCTTGTTTCTGCATCTCCTGTCCCATGGTGTCAGTCGCTTCATATCACTTGGACCCTGTCCCTGTGTCTCTGTCTTAAGTTCTTCCCAGTCTGTTTCATAGCAAAGTTTAGATCCCCCATCATGTGTACCCTGCCCTCTGTCCTGAGCCACTTCTGTCCCATCTACATGTTCCACAGGAACTCAGGAGCTCCCCAGCAAGGCAGAGCCAGTCTGCCTATCAGTCAGGGCCTCGGGGGCTCCTGTCCCTTGACCCCACCAGATCAGTGTGCCTGTTGCAGGCTCAGTGTCTCCTGTAACTCACCCCTCAGGGACCCTGGAGCTCCCCACTCCACTCATTGCTGCCCACCAGCTGTACAATTACGTGGCTGACCATGCCAGCTCCTATCACATGAAGCCACTGCGGATGGCCCGGCCAGGAGGCCCAGAACATAATGAGTACGCCCTGGTGTCAGCGTGGCACAGGTGAGGCAAGAAGGAATGGGTGGAGCTGGAGTAGGGGCCATCCTTGCAGTAGGAAGACCCGTGTTCTTGGGCAGGAGGGGTGGGGTTGGTTCATCAGAACCTCAGGGTTGACATCTCGCCCACCCCCACCACACAGCTCTGGCTCCTACCTGGACTCTGAGGGACTTCGGCACCAGGATGACTTTGACGTGTCTCTGCTTGTCTGTCACTGTGCTGCACCCTTTGAGGAGCAAGGAGAGGCCGAGCGACATGTCCTGCGGTCAGCAGATGCCCCACCTTGAATATGCCTGTTGCCCTCCCCGCACCCCGCCCTGGCCCTGTGTCTCTCCTGCTGTGACCACCACATTCCTGCCCCTCCCCACCCCAGGCTCCAGTTCTTCGTGGTGCTCACCAGCCAACGAGAGCTCTTCCCCAGACTCACTGCTGACATGCGCCGGTTGCGGAAGCCGCCCAGGCTGCCCCCTGAGCCGGAGGCTCCTGGGAGCTCAGTTGATAGTCCTGGGGAGGACTCAGGGGTTGGTCTGGCCCCTGGACCGGCTCCCCTCTTCCCCCCACTGGCTGCAGAGGTGGGTGTGGCACGGGCACGGCTGGCTCAGCTGGTGCGGCTGGCTGGAGGGCACTGCCGTCGGGACACCCTTTGGAAGCGCCTCTTCTTGCTGGAACCACCAGGACCTGATCGGCTGCGGCTCGGGGGGCGCTTGGCCCTGGCCGAGCTGGAGGAGCTTCTAGAAGCAGTCCATGCCAAATCCATTGGGGACATTGACCCCCAGCTGGTAAGCAGCTGCAGGTTCCAGAAGGGGCTGGGATGGATGCTATGAATTCCATTGGCAGCCAAAATAGAGGTTGCAGGGGTCTCAGGAGGCTCTGGGACAGCAGATCCATGCTTGTGGACCTTCTCCCAGGACTGCTTCCTGTCTATGACGGTTTCCTGGTACCAGAGCCTGATCAAGGTCCTCCTAAGCCGCTTTCCCCAGAGCTGTCGCCATTTCCAGAGCCCAGACTTGGGAACTCAGTACCTGGTAAGTCTTCTTGCCGTTCCTCTGAAAGGGGAGACACAGGAATCCTCATCAGAGAGCGAACAAGATCCCCCTCAAGGAGCCCCAGGCCCTGACTAAACAGGCTGTGCTCTGGAGGGAGGCTGAGATGGAGCGACTACACAGATTGATGTAAAACCCTTCAAGCCCCGGGCCACAGCATCTGATTTGCCAATACCCTAGAGCTGTGCCCTCAAGGGCTCACAAAATCACAAACCTTGGCCAGCGATCTGAAGGACCAAGCTCTAGAACCTCGGGAGTGTTGGTCTTGGAGGCTGGAGCCCCAGAAAGGACTTCTTGGGCTTTAAAGCCTTTTAACCCAAGATGTGAGCCTCACACCAGCAGCATCAGCACTGCCTGGGAGCTGGCCAAAGTGCAGACTTGCAGGCCCCACTCCAGACCTGCTGACTCAAAACCTGCCTTTCAGCTAGATCCCCAGGTGACTGGTGTGCACAGTAGAGGTTGAAAGTGCTGCTGGGAGGGCCAGGTGGACCGAAGAGCTGTGGCGGTGGGCGCAAGAGTGTGGGGATTAAGAGACTAAAGGGATGGGCCCAACCAGAGCAGCAGTTCAGGAGAGGAAATGTTCAAGAGATTTCAAAAGAAAAAGTACTTGGTCCGTGGCGAGGGGTTCTGCGACATAGTGCTTGTGGGGAAGTGCATAGTGCATAGTGAGGAAGACTAGTCCCAAGGTGTTATGGAGGGCCATCCAGAGAAGCTGAGGCCAGTTAGGGGAAAGCTGCAGTAGTGCAGGCAGACATGAGTGGATGGAGGTACTGAAGCACAAGTGGGTGGTGGGGATACTGAAGCAGGAGTGGGTTTGGGGAAGGGTGGTGAGTTGAGTCTGAGGTCCAGGAGGACCTTCCAGGACCATGGTCTAGAAAGTATATGGACATCAGGAATTGGAGCTCAGGAGAGAGAGATCTAGGCAGCATCTGCATAAACAGGTGGTCACCAAAATCCTGAGAGTAGAAGAAATCGTCCAGGGAGAGATGGAAAAGCTGAGCACCAGGGACAGACAGACAACAGGGGATGACTCCAGAGGAGGCCAGAGATTCAAAACCTAGAACAGGCCAGGAGGCAAGGAGGGTTTATGTCAAGGGTAGAGAACCCTCCTTCGTTGACGGGCTTATGTGTGCCAGCTTGAGCAGGGCCTTCCAGTCAAGCCCCACGCCCTCATCCTGATGAGGCTGGTTGGCTGACCGGGAGCCAATGAGGATGAGGACCAAGGTTGGATTTGGAGAAGAGGTCCTGAGTGACCAGGGAGTGGGGTCAGATGTGGTGAGGGAAGCAAGTCGTCCTCAGGCTGGTCCCACTTCCAGGCTGCCCTCAAGGAGGGTCTGTGCCTCTCACTCCCCACCTCATTTTGTCTTTTGCTGCAGGTTGTGCTGAATCAGAAGTTCACTGACTGTTTTGTGCTAGTGTTTCTGGATTCCCATTTGGAGAAGACGGTGAGAATGGGGGGCAAGGGGCTTTGTGTCAGTCTAGTGGGAGGCTGTACCCTAAAGGTTCCACCCCAGATCCTGCCAAGGTTGGGGAGCCCGCTCTCCCGGAGCCCTGTTCCTTGTGCCCAGCCCACCCCCTCTCACCGCTGCACCCCCACTGTCTTCCCCACAGTCTCTGACGGTGGTTTTCCGAGAGCCTTTCCCAGTACAGCCCCAGGACAGCGAGAGCCCCCCTGCCCAGCTGGTCTCCACCTACCACCACCTGGAGTCTGTTATCAACACAGCCTGTTTTACCCTCTGGACCCGCCTCCTCTGAGGGATGGACCACTGAATGTCCTCACATCATGGCTCTTTAAGATGGCCCACTTGAAGCAGGACTGACCAGCTCTTCTGGACCCCAGGGCAAGACCAGACCCTGAGGAACACCAAAGGTTTTGTGAATATGTCTTGGTGGGGTCTGTAGCCCCAGTCTGGCAGCAGGAGCTGCCCTCCCTAAACACTCACAGCCACTGACCAGCCCAGGACTCCACAGGGTCCACTCAACTGCTTGAGATGCCCATGTCCTTTCAGGCCCCTGGGCCCTTCCAGAAGGGGACTCCTCCTTCCTGCTCACCTGGTGGAGTTTGGGAATTCTTCCTATCGGGTGGCCAGTACTCACCCCTTCAAGTTTCTCTGTCTGAATCCTGCCTCCAAGTCTTGGATCGCTGTCAGCCACCTGCCTCCCCAACTCCCATCTTAAGCCTTCTGGTCTTCATTTCCCACTGGGACATCACTGCTGGACATTGCCACTGAGATAAGATACCTCGGTTCCAATCTCAGCTCTGCCTTTGTAGCACCTGTAACCACTGGCAAGTTCCTCTACTCGGACCCTTGGTTTCTCATACGTACATAAGGAGGTGGGCTCAAAAGCTCTCCCATCTCCACAGCAACACTGGCACAGACTGGAGGACTTGAACATGAGCTGTATGTCCCTTCTTGGCAGGAGGGAAGTGACCCAGAGAAACTGAAAGGATAGACACTGTGTGTCCCTCCCCTGCCCCCAATAACATACACACATGGAAACGTTCAGCAGGTTGTCTTTAATTCAGAGGAGACTCAGGATGCGTGACTCACTGTCCCAGAGGCACGTGGGTGGAGTGCAGGACCTTACTGGCCAGCCCGTGGGTGGCCCTGCTTCTCCCAGTATGAACGTAGCCAACTCAAGCCCTCTACGGTGTCTCCTGAGGGGAAAGGGGAAAGGCATCTCAACCCACGAGGAGGAAACCCGCCCCTGTCCGACACCTGTCCCTCCAGAGCCCCTTCCCCAGGGCCACACCTGGAGCCTCGCCCGCCCTCACCTTGAGGCTGGTACTCGCAGCCTACAAAACCTTTGTAGCCTTCATCTTCCAGCACTTGGAACAGATAGGGGAAGTTCAGCTCTCCGGGGCTGCTAGGTTCCCCCCGGACTGGGACCTGTGCCACCTGTACATGCCCTGGGGACAGATGGGGACAGATGTGGGTCCCAGGCTGCTGCTGAGGCCTGAGGGACTGAAAGAGTGGGAGGACAGAGGAAGCAGCACAGCAGACTAGGAAGGAGCCAAGAAAGGGGCCCTCACCAACGATGGGCAGGAACTCCCGGATGTTTCCTGTCAGGTTCCCATCCATGATCTGCCAGTGGAATATGTCCTGGGGCAGAGATTCCTACAGTCACAGACCCTTCAGGCCGCACCATTCTTCCCAGATTTGGAGAACATGGGTCCTTGGAGAAGCACTCGCTTTCTCCCACTTACCATCTGTAACTGGAGGTTGGGTCTTCCAACCTTCTGTAAGATGGCTGCCGCTGGGAGAGAGACCGGGGAGGGGGCCATGAGACTCGAGGAGAGCACAAGAATCAAAGGGACAGGAGGTGGCACTGGGCTGGGGGCCCTACCCTGCTGCGGTGTATCCAGGAAGTACCGGGGGTTGGTGATCCGGGTGTTGATGGGCTCCAGCAGTCCCACGAGGTTCTCCTAGCACCAGCTGGGTCTGTGAGGAAGCTCTTCCCCAGGCGGGCCCCCTCAGTCAATGGTCAAGCCCTCACTGGTCCCTCTGACCTGGGCCAGTGTCCAGCCTGTGCCTCACTGCTCTCCCCACCGTACGCCCCCTCCACACACACACACACAGTCAGGAAGTACGTGTGCCTGTACATTTTCATGGTCTCACCTGAGCCAAAACCCCAGCTGCGTGCCTTAGGTTCTCCAGAAAAACTGTCTCCATCTCACCCCTGACTGCTGCTCGATCAGCCCCCTGGGGTACTCGGCCAGCCATCAGGTGAATCCTGTGAGGGAAGTGGGACCAGAGTGAGTGTGGAGTCCATCCCCAAAGTGGGGGTCTTCACTCCCTCAGCTCCCTGGATGCCCTCCGACCATGCCAGCTTCCCGTCTCCCCAAGTGTCTAGACTGGACCACCCTGCCATGATGCTCAGGCCTCCCAGTGCCCTCAGATGCTCCTGTGTCACTGTAAAGCCAAGCTCTTCCCCAGATCCCTACCAAGGGTCAGCACATCCTCCCGCCTCAGAGACCTCAGACCCTCACTTAGCCCCTCCTGTACTTCCAATCTCTCCTTTTCCCTGCCCCTTCTCCTCAAGCCTATGAACATGCACCTTCTAAAAATTACTTTGACCCTTAGCCATCTCAGGAATTCCACGCTGCTTTTCTCTCCTCCTTGCATCTGTTTCTTAGCTTCTTCCCATCTGTTTTCTGTACACACACCACTCCCCTCCTAATAATCCCTTGTTGCCAGTTCCTTCTCAGCCTGTTTGCCCTCCGCAGGGTTTACCTGATCAGCCCCACTTTGAGGCCCCCAACCATCTCCCTTCACCTCCGGATCGATCTTTCCCAGCCATCTCCAGCGCAGACAGGCTACATTTCCAGCCTCATGAACTCTGCGCAACACGCCAAGCCCTTCTTGCCCCTGGCCACTGCACCCTTGCCTGGAATGCTCCTTACATCAAGCAAGTGCCTACTCGGAGAACCAGTTCAACATCACCGCCTGTAAGAAGCCGTCTGTGATCCCAGAGTTAGTGCCTACGCTGCTCCCACAGCCTCCGTGAATTGACCTGTCCTCTTACTTTGCTGTCTCCCTGGTCAGCTCCCAGCATGGGATCCCAGCATGAGATGAGCAAAAAAGAGTTGCAAACTGAGACTGACACACAACAGATCAAATACAAAAGGCAATTACAAGGGACCAGGACTGAAGGGGCAGAGAAGGGACAGTGCACTCCGGAGCCTCTCGAGACCTGGCGGCCTCTTCTCCCGTGGGTCTTGGAAGGCGGGAGGAGCAGGAGAGGGGGTTACCTGGGACAGCCCAGAGCCTTGGCGTACAGCACAGCCTGCTCCAGCCCCTCTCGGAAGGCCGCCTGCCTCCCGGGAACGGCCCCCAGCCCCATTTCCCCCTTCTCTCGGTCTCCTGCGAAGAGAATAAGCCTGAGACCCCTGGCTCCGGCTCCTGGCCCCCGGCCCGCCAGTGACCCGGCCCCGGCCCCC